GAACCGTGGTAAGGGAGCCAACCCCCCCCCCCCCCCCCCGAATCAATGCACCCGTAAAGTTATGCAGCCAAAAGCAGAACAAACAGTTTTCACATCCCAGCTGCTGGTGTTGGGTTGAGCTCACTACATCATTTTTGAGCAGTAGTGGAGGAGCATGCTACCTGCTGATCTTCATGTCTATAAATGTTTGCAGATGCCATCCAGATGTTCAGTGGGGGTCAGCTGACAGTGATGGGTCCAACCGCCACAGCAGGTATTTTCTCAACCTATCCAGCAGACTACCTCAGCCTGTGGGGAGGAATTGTTGACCAGGTCAGTTACTCTCTCTCTCTCTCTCTTATGATTAATTAATTTGATCTCATGCAGCAACATGATTCAGACATCTGGACTTGAATCCTCTAACTCTCCTGTTGCCTTCAGGTCAAAATGACCCACAGAGCTTTCGTTTTAAAACTGAGGCCTTAAATCTGAAGTTTATAAATTGTGTTTTTCTGAACAGTGCCTTTTGTTCCTCAGATCATCGGCACTGCGGCCCTGCTCCTGTGTATCCTGGCGATCGGGGACCAGAGGAACACCTCCATCCCTGATTTTCTGCAGCCGCTCCTGGCCGGAGCGACGGTTCTGGTGATCGGCATCTCCATGGGCTCCAACTGCGGCTACCCTCTGAACCCGGCCAGGGATTTTGGACCTCGACTCTTCACTTACATCGCCGGCTGGGGAGAAGACGTTTTCAAGTTAGTAGCAAAATGAAGCTTTTAAGTCTGTTAGCAAAATATCTCACGAACCACTAGACTCATTTTAAAGGAACTTTCAGAAAATCATCATTGGATGTTTATCTACCATTATTACACTTTTGAGGCTAACTCAAGTCAAGATGGCTGCCACAACTAACTGAACTTAAAAAACACAAAAGTGATTATAATTCAGTTACTTTCACAGAAATTGGGCTGTAATTTGGTGTGGTAGTAGCTGAGAGTCATTCATAACATATAATTCCCTTCTTTTTTCCAATTAAAAGTATAATTTCTGTGTGAACAGGGCTGGAGGCGGCTGGTGGTGGGTGCCGATCGTTGCCCCCTGCATCGGAGCGCTGCTGGGGGCTCTGATCTATGAGCTGCTGGTTGAAGTCCACCACCCTCCACCTTCGTCTGAGACGACTTCAGGTCAGGAAGCTGCTGAGAAGGAGGGAGTGGAACTGGAGGGAGTGGAACCAGAAGGTGGAAAACCCATTTAAGTGATCAAATTAGGAGGAAACTTGTCAAAACATTGCACTTTAAAATGTGGGCTGAGAACGTTTTGTACGCTCAGATTGCTGTTTCAGTTTTTCTACAAATATTTTCAGATTATCAAGAAAAAAAAAAAAAAGATTTAACACTAACAAATCTGAGTTCAGGACTGTTGACTCACTGCCGTGTTTTTGGGAAGTGTTATCACTATTATTGCAGCCATTTATGGTTGTAAACTTTATATGTAGTTTCAGATCATTGTGCTTTAAACTTTAAAGATTAGATCTGGTAATTATAAACAGATGGCTGAAAACTGAGCTTTTTTTTTTTTTTTTTAAAACAACCTTTGAATGACAGAAACTACCAAACATTTTCCAATTTCTTTTCCACATTTATTTCCAAACAGCACAGAAGTGTATGGCATTTCAGCAAGCAGACCACAACCATGGAAGAGAAAATGACGTGACACTACTGAGCTATATAAATATGATGACATATAAAAAGATACAAACAGAAGATTGTTTCCTCTACTCGTAGGCCCTCATCGTGTCGTTGTGAAGGCTGCAACGTGTAAAAAAAAAAAATTGAGTACAGCAAGCACTGATCCTGTAGTTACAAAAAAAAAAAATGTCTCAAAGAGATACGTTTCGTTTTCATACACATTAAGACGACACGACCCCCTCGCCCTCCTCCTGTTTTATAATTACAATGTGTAGCTAACTCTGGGGGGATTTTTTTCTCTTTTAACCATGAACCAGTTTTAGGAAGGAAAAAGGGAACGAGTACAAATACTACACATATTCACATTATCATAGCAAGTTACTAAAACCAGAATGCTTTTAGTGTAATTATGTATTTACACGGCAAAACTCGTTTACTACTCGACAGGAAGCCCGGCCTTTCCTCTACCTTAACGTCACAAATTTTTCTCACGACACAGACTACCTGTAACCATCAGAGTTCGTCACCTTGTTGCACTAACAATATACCAACAGCAATAATGTTTTTATATAAATAAATATTGCAACGTAAAAATCGGGGACTTTTTGTATTTTTTTTCCCGCAAACACTCCCTTTCATGCTTCGTGTGTCTCAGATTTAGTTTTTTCAGCTTTCAGAGGCGTTAAAGCTGATTAATAAACAAAAACAAAGAGGATGGACTTTGAGGCAAGCAGCGCGAATATAATGTAGAGGAGTGTAGTGTGTGTGTAGGGGGGTGTTTTACTAACAGACAGTGCAGATTGAGAGTGCTGGAAATGTGTTATACACAGTATGGCTGATAGAAATGTTTGTTTCTGATCAAACATGCAGCTATAATGGCACAGAAGAAGTGCCACAGAGTAAAATGCTTGTTGTTTAAAAATAAAAATCTGCTCGGGAGCAGCTGTGTTTCAACATTCATGTCCTACAGCCCCCCCCAGTCTCAGGTGACCCATCCCTACTGGGGCTTGTCTGTCTTGTGTGCGGTGAGGAAGGCCATGCCGTGGGTCCTGAAGTGCGTGTTGAGGTCCGTCGCCTTGTCGAAACGCCGGCCGCACACCCTGCAGCTCAGGTTCCCGTCTCCGTCCTCGGCCTGCGCCTGGGGGGACGTGGCGAAGGAGGCGTCTGGAGAGCCGGGAGCGCAGGGGGCGCCGCGCTCTGCTTCGCCCTGCGTGTCCCGCACTCGGTGAGTGATGAAACGGTGTCTGCTGAGCGAGCCGGCCGACGCGAAGCAGACGCCGCACTGCAGGCACTGGAAGGAAGCGGTGTCGCCGCGGTGCTGCGGGATGTGGTGCTGGAACACGACCCCGTCCTCCGTGGAGAAACCGCAGGGGACGCAGCGGAAAACGTTGTCTTCCTCCTCCAACTCACCGGGTGTTGACGACGTGGACGCCACGGAGGCCCTGGTTCTCTTTGCCGGACTGTTGCCGTCTTCTGTGGCGTTTTCCTCTTCATCCGCTGCCCTGCCTACAGGGGGGCCAACCTCACCGTCGTGTTCTGAGGAGCTGCCGGGTCCTTCGCCTCCTGTAGCGGCACGCTTCCTGGTCAGAGGGGGACCCTGAGCAACAGAACACTGAGGCTTAACAGCCGAACTTCAGATACTGAGGCCTAAAACCACATTTCTGTGTACGTGCTGGTTTGTGAAAGAAGCTGAAACTGGGCTGTTAATGCTAAAAGTAGCATAAGTCTAGCTAAAAACAAAAATAGAAGATTCATGAGAGCTATGTTTTGGAAAGAACACGAGATCTCAATAAAGTTGAATTGTATAAAAAAAAATAGCACTCATCTCCTGAATGAGCTGAACATTCTAATATATAATTTAACACAAACTATGCAAAAGTAGTTGGATTACAAAAAGTGTACGTAGAAATCAGCATTTAGACCAAAAACAAAAATTACCAGTTTAATAAAATCTCTTTAAGTAAATTTGTCATGTGGGTTTTAAATAAACACAGCTGGATTTAAACCATTTGTGATAAATGAAGATCAAGAGAAGGAGCTTCGGAGTGTAAACTCACCTGTCCATCTGTTCTGTGATGAAGCCGGATGTGTTTGTCCAGCAGGAAACGACTGCCAAATGTACGTTTTCCTTCTGTGCAAAACCTAAAAAAAACCATTAAGCCATGTTTAAACAATATATTGACATGCAGAAGACTTAAAACAAAAAAAGCTTAAAAGCCATTAAAACTGCTCATTTGCTGTAGAACTACAACAATGTAAAACGTGTAGTGCCCTCTAGTGGTCAGAATGTGTCACGCAGTCGACTTTAAAGGTAAAAGGACCAACAACAATTTGGATTTTTGTACTTAATAGTAAAAATATATAAAAAGCAAACATTTGCTGTGGAAAGAAATGCAATTCATTGCTAAACTAATTCTAAGGGAAATAATTTAAAACAACAGATGTGTACAGTAGTCCCTTGTTTATCGCGGAAGATCTGTACCCTGAAGCCCCGCGATTTTATTTGACATACACCCTGCATGTGGTACACGTGGTGGAACGAAATGGTGTACACAGGGTCCCAGCTACATCCAACAAATGTTTTAAAATGTAAAAGAAAAACAATAAGATGTAAGATGTGAACTAAGGAAAACGTTAATTAAAAATACACTAAGCACTAGTAGCATAAAAACAATTCGCTGAACAGCAGCACGAACATGAGTCTGTGTACTATAGTACTCATTTACTATTTACGGTTGCAATATTCTAAACAATGTTTCTAAACTCTACATGCTCTAAAAGAGCACAGAATGTCATGATTTCAGCTCCCTGCCTCTGCTGCTCTCAGCCTCCTGCAAGCGTTTTTGGCCACGCCCACTTCTCCGCTCTGTACGGAGAACAGCTGATCAGCTGCAGCAGGAAGCTTATCCTGCAGTATGGGCTACACAGAGGGGTACGAGGAAGCTTTTTCTTCAGCTGTCGGATGCACACAGGTGCAGGAGGTGCTAAATAATTTTAAATAATTTATTTTAAATAAAAATCCCATGCCAATCGTGAGGCTCATCCATCAATCAGCCAATTGTGTGTCATGTCCAATTTTATTTTTGAAAAATCATGACAGAGCGAGTCCACGAAAAACGAACCTCGAAGTAGCGAGGGGCTACTGTATTCATGCTGAACAATATTGAAAGTGACAGCCGAGGTGACTCACTGGCAGTGGAAGACTCTTTTGTTGCCCTCATGAATGACACGCTCATGACGTCGCAGGCTGGAGGATGTGCTGAAGGTGCCTCCACAGATACGACAGGGGAACTTTGGAGAAACAAAACAATAAAACATTTAAAGAAATGAAAAGAGTTGGTTGTTTCTATCAAAGGTAACCACGTGAATAATTCACATTTGGTTCATTGACCAATCTAATCTGGGGGAAATGTTGCACCTTGCCGTGCTCCATCTTCACGTGACTCTGGTAGTCGTCGTTGTTGGTGAAGGTGGTCTGACACTGAGCGCACGTCCACTCAGTCGGAGCGCTTGCATTACCGCCACCCCCTGCGGCGGAGTTCCCTCCTGGAGCCTCGTAGTCCTCATCCCCCTCGTCGTCGTCGTCATTTTCCTCCTCTTCATCCTCCTCCTCCTGTTCCCGCCCCCAGTCCTCGCCGTCAGAGGTGTCGGGCTTTCCAGAGGGTTTGGACTTGGAGCTGGAGGGAGTGGAGGAGCTGGTCGGAGCTGAGGCGGGGTTTGAAGAGTCGGGCACAGACTCCGGTTTGGCTGAGATGCCTCTGTGAGCGGTCTGAGACAGGAACATGTTTCAGTCGTACGAAACGCTCCAAGCACATCAACTCTGCGTCAATTCATTCTTCTCGGTTAAAAAAAAGGCACCGGTGCTCTTAGATAAGAAGCAAGGCACTCTGGATGTCTGCTTTAAAAAGTTTGTGTGACCGATTCAGCATCACATTGTTGTTTTTATGTTTTGCACGTTTTTATAAATTTAACTACTTCAGTATACTTTGAGCTATTTTAGCTATTTATACATCAAAACATTAGGCTCATTCAAGAGATGGGTGTTATGACTTTTGGTTTATGTATCGTTTATTATACTTTAAAATATTTATCATTTATTTACAACTATTTCCTCTTAAAATAAATTGGAATCTCAATTCCTTCAAAAACATTTTCTTGGAAATCTGCTCTATAATGGCTCTAATTTTTTCTTACTAAGCTACTTTTAGCTTTTAGCTAGCCTTCTGCTGCTTTTAGTTAGCCTTTTGCTACGTTTAGTCGTTTGCAACTTTTAGCTAGTGTTTTATTTTTGGTTTATAGCTAACCATGTACTGCGTTTAGCTAGTGTTTTTTTTCTTTAGCAAGCTTTTTTCTACTTTTAGCTTTCAGCTACTTTTTGACTTTTAACCAGCTATTTGTTACATTGAAGTTTTAGCTACCCTTCAGCTACTTATAAGTTGTGTTTTATTAGTTTTGGCTTTTACTTAGTGTTTTTCTAAGTTTAGCTATCATTTAGGAAGTGTTTTGATTTTTTTTTTAGCTTTTAGCTAACCATTTACTGCTTTTAGTTAGTGTTTTCTTCTTTAGCTACATTAACTAGCTATTTGTTGCATTGAAGTTTTAGCTACTCTTCAGCTACTTAAGTCAACTTTTATTAGTTTTGGCTTTTACTTAGTGTTTTTCTAAATTTAGCTATCATTTAGGTAGTGTTTTGATATTTTTTGGCTTTTAGCTAATCATTTACTGCTTTTAGTGTTTTCTACTTTAGCTACACTTTTTTCTATTTTTAACTAGCTATTTGTTACATTGAAGTTTTAGCTACCCTTCTACTACTTTTAAATATTGTTGGGTTTTTACTTTTGACTTACCAAGCATTTAGCTAAATTTAGCTTTCATTTAGGTAGTGTTTTGCTATTTTTTTTGGCTTTTAACCAACCATTTACTGCTTTTAGTTAGTGTTTTCTACTTTAGCTACATTTTTCTAATTTCAACTAGCTATTTGTTACATTGAAGTTTTAGCTACCCTTCTACTTCTTTTAAATAGTGTTTAGTTACTTTTGACCTAGCATTTAGCTAGGTAGTGGTTTGCTATTTTTTGGCTTTTGGTTAACCATTTGCTCTTTAGAGTAGTGTTTGCAACTTTTAGCTTTGAGGCAGCCTCTTGCTACTTTCAACTTTTAGCAAGTCTGATACGATACATTTATCTTTTAGCTAACATTTAGCTACTTTAAAATGACATTTAGCCAATTTTGACTTTCACCTATAATTTGCTACATTTAGCTTCTAGCAAACCTTTTGCTACTTTGATCTTTTTTGGTTTTAGCTAGAGCTTTAACAACTCAGTTTCAGCTTCTTCAGCAAACTCATTCAGCACTCATCGCATTTTTGCAGACAACTTCTCGAGTTATGAGACAATTTGTAAGGCTGAGCCAAGTTTTGCTGTCAGCCTTTTCTGACACCACATCCATTGTAGAAATCCATGAACAAGCAACACGTAAAGACAAAATGTCAACCGTTTCTTTGAGCTGCAATAATTTATTCCTAAAATCGGACACGTGAAATATTAAGATCTAAAAACACACCTTAATGTGCTCCATCATGGAACCCTTCTGAGCGTAGAGCTTAGTGCAGTCGGGACACTTGAACACGTGCACTTTTTGCTTGGCTAAATGAGTGTCAAAGTGCATGTACAGCAAGGGCTTCTGGGTAAAAACTGTATCACACATCACACACTTGTAGATCATCCTAAAAAACGAGAAAAGAAACAAAAACAATGAGCTACCTGTTTATCAAATGGGATCACTTTCAAACCTGTTCTAAAGAGATCCTCAACACGGGAGGGAAAACTTTTGATCTGGTGGAAATAGTTCTCGTACTTGGCCTGTCCTCCGGTTAGCGTTGGGTGCTGGGTGCTGATGTGGCTTTGGGCGCTGGGGGAAGACTTGAAGGCCATGGGGCAGCTGGGACACTTGTGGAAGACCTCGCAGTGAGCTGTCTGAATGTGGGACTTGATGGAGTTCAACCCTCCGAACACGACCTGGCAACTTGAGCACCTTGAAGCAAAATGGGACAATTTTAAACTCCATTGACAAAAGTTTCTTTTCTTACTTCTTGCATTTTTTATGGATATTTTTAACAAACTTTAACTCGTTAAAATAATCTGAAGCTAAAAAGTCTACTAAAGAAAACCATCCAGAGAGTAATGTATTTTCCCTCCTAATCTAGAAATTAAAGCGGCTTCGCGGAGATGCAATGTGAGTTTCGAGTAGTCTTCATACCTGTAGCCAATGCGCCTGGCGAAATGCAAACAGGCCTCGTCCAGGTGGGTCTGGAAGCTCGCCTGTCGCGCGATTCCACCACATTCAGGACACACATGTGGAGCTTTGTGTTTATGGATCCTCTGGTGGGCGGACACGGCACAAGAGTTGGGGAGCATCATGGGAGGCGAGCACTGAGTGCATGTCTGCAAGATGAATAAAACGAGAGATTTGAGCAAAACGTTCAGGTAGCACCTCACGCTAACGGTGTCATCCCTCAAAACTCACCGTATTAGGAGCTCCTCTGATCTGCTGGAAGTGAGTGACCAGCTCAGTCTTGCCAGAGAACTGTGTTTGGCACTCTGAACATTTAAAGTTGTTGTACTGCAGCCCCTCGGCCTTTTTGCAGGGCAGAGGCATCAGCGCCTGGGGGCCCTGAGGCGCGCGGCGGACGGTTCGAGGCTGAGCTGCTGTGGGACACGACGTGTCCTTCATGGGACTGGAGTTGGCCGCGATGGAAGGACCCCCTGGTGTGGTGGAGGGAGAGGAGACTGGAGAAGAGGACGAAGAGGTGAGCAGGCCTGTTCAGCCCAAAGGTGGAGAACAGAGGAGACAAACGGGAGTCAACCACATGCGTTTGTTTACCTACAGAAACAGCCCAAGTGACTGAAAATAGTGGCGACGTCCATAGAAGAGCTGTTTTGGATGGAGAAGTCTGACAAATCTGATGTACTGGAACTTATTTATATATGTTGAGTAAAACATGCAAACAAAAGCACTTTGTTTACATTGAGTGCATACCTGCATTTCAGAGTTGCACATCAATACAGTCATATATACAGTAGTCCCTCGCTACTTTGTGGTTTGTTTATCGCAGTTTTTCAAAATAAGATTGGACATGACACACAATTGGCTGATTGATGGATGAGCCACATGATCGGCATGGAATTTTTATTTAAAATAAACTGTTTAAAATTATTTGGCACCTGCTGCTCCTTTGTGCAGCCCTTACTGCTGCAGGATAAACTTCCTCATGCAGCTGATCAGCTGATCTGCGTGCAGAGCGGAGAAGTGGGCGTGGCCGAGAACGCTTGCAGGTGGCTGAGGGCGGCGGATGCACAGAGAGGGAAATCATGACATTCTTTTACAGCATTTAAAAACATTGTTTAGGACATGGAAGAGCAACATGAGGCCAGGACTCTGTGGCCTACACTCATCTCCAGGCCAGCGGTCACTCGTTCAGGGATGAAGATGTTCACATCCTGGACAGAGAGGAACGATGGTTTGAGAGAGGAGTGAAGGAGGCCATCTTTGTGAAAAGAAACTGCCCAACACTAAACAGGGGTGGAGGCCTCCGTTTCAACTGCCCCCCTCTGGTTTAGGATATCGCAAGAGCGTGGGAAGGGTTTAAAACGCTTAAAAAAATAAAAATAAAAAATAATATATATATATATATATATTACTAGTACTACTATTTCTACTTCGTGGTTTTCCACTTATCGCGGGGCTTCAGGTTACAGATCCCCCGCGATAAACGAGGGACTACTGTATCTGGAAAACCAAAAGTGTAAACTCTTTCAAGCTGCACTATTTGATAGTTCAGGGTAGCCTGTTTATTTTTGATTTCATAGTTTGGAATTAGTACCTTTAGTAGTAAAAATGAACGAAAGCTGCACGTCAACTCACCCCCGATTGGCGTTATGTCTTGCTGCCCAATCATCTGCTCTACGGTGACGGGCCTCATGACCAGATGTGAGCACTGCATGACCAGCCCACGCTCCTTGTGCTCCCTGGCGTGCAGCAGCAGGCTGCACTTGTTGAAGAAAGCGAGCCTCTTAGCGCAGTGGTTGCACGTCACCTCGATGCGCAGCGATCGGCGGTCGTAGTGTCGTGCCAGGCTGCGTTCCAGGGCAAAGGCGTCTCCGCACTCTAAGCAGCGGTATCCTGTGGTGGGGAGCGGAAGACCCCACTCAGGGGGCGGAGGAGCTGAGAGGTCAGGCTTGTAGCTTGGCAAAAGGTTTTTGCTGTTCAGGATTTTGTTGAACGCTTCCACCAGGCTCGACTGACTCCGGGAGATGACGGCTCCCGTGCTGTTGACGATTGAGGCGGGTTTGTTTGACTGCAGGCTGCCGCCTATGATGGTGCCACTACTTCCGTTAGCTGATTTGTTAGTGGCTGTGCGGACGTTTATCCCACTAGCAGCTACTGAGAACTTGGGGGAGGAGGCCACTGACGGTGTTGCAGGCAGGGCAGCGGATTTGGTGATGCTGACAGCGGCGGCAGAAACCTTCACCTTCTCGGATGAAGCCATTTTGTTTTGGACCTTTGTGGCAGCTGCGAGCATGACGCTGCTCGCTGCGAGCGTAGAAACAGGGAGAGCATTGAGAGCACTTACTTTCTGGGAAGAAGTCATGTGACCAGGAGAGGCCTCAGCTTTCTGGGTTTTGTTTGCTAATGCTTTCTGATCTCCGGTTTGAGCTTTCGGGTCCAAGCCTTTCCCTCCTGCTGCACCTTTTGGCGCCACTCTTGTCACAGTTCTGGTGATTCCACCAGTGGAGGTTTTAATTGTTTTTATTCTGACTTTAAGGGGGCGGGACGGAGCACCAGAGAGAACAGGTGTAGGGCTGCTTTTTTCTCCATCAGTGGATGAAGGTTTAGACTTGCCATCACCCGTCTCCATGTTGTCCTCACTTGTTTCCATATTTTCTCCCTTATCAGCTGCGCCGTCAACAACCCTATCAATCCCGTTCCCGACCTCCATCTCTTCCTCCTCATCTTTAGGCTCCCGCAGCTCTGAGGGAGGTGGTGTGGAGGCCACTGCAGGGCTGGAGCATCTCTTAGCAGTGGCCTGAGCTGCTGAATTTGGCGTCTCTGGTTCGGGACTCTCTGGTGAATCTCTCTCTTCAATCACATGTTCCGGATGCCTCTCCTCCGCCTGTGGATTCTCTGCGGAGCCAGACTGTGGGGTGGATGAAGTCAGAGATGATTCTGAAGGAGTGTCGCCAGGCTTGGGTTGAGATGTGGCAGAGGTGGGCTGCGCAGAGACGGACTCAGACTTGTAGCGTCCGCTCAGCTGAGTGCAGGTTGGAGAGTCTGGGTTCTCCTGGATCACCAGTGGACTCCCCAAATCAGCATCAGAATCCTCCTCCTCTCCCTGGTGGTGCTGAAACCCAGCAGCGCCACTTTGGGGAGCTCCATTGAATGGCTGAGAGGAGTGCAGCGGACGAGGTGCAGAAGGTGGAGCTGAAAGCAGGGGTTTGGAAGGTGGAAAAAAAGGCAAGGATATTCCTACTGGTCCACCAGCAGCCAGTGGGGGCGACCCAGCTGATAGAGAGGAAGATGTAGGTAACGATGCTTTGACCCCATCTGCCCTTTCTTGACCTGTATCCTGCTGCTGCTGGTGTTGCTGCTGCAGAAGCTGCATCTTTCTGGCCCGACCCACTGGATCGCCAGAACCCTGCGCCACAAGCGGCTTAAGTCTGTTGAAAATGTTGGCACCCTGCTTGTGAGACTTGGCCGTGCTGACACCGGCTGCTTCTACAGTCACTTTAGGGGTGTTCATGGACCAGGGTGCACCGTTAGACTGAACCTGGCTGAGGGGGAGTGGAGTGGAGACGCCAGATGCTCCAAAACCATTGTGATTGAGGGCTTCAGAATCCGCCATCCCGGGAGCGCACGCTCCAAGCCGGGGACCCACATCGACTCCTGCGATCACATCTGCGTCGTCCTCTGCTCCATCCACTGCCTCGTGACGAACTTTGTTCTTCACAATCACACTCACAATCGAGGTGTCCGCCTGAGGGTCTGAGGGACTTGGCGGTCTCAGGGATGACCCAACGCCCACCACGTTTTCTGGCTTTCCCAGAGGTGCACCTGCAGCTCCGTGGGGTGCTTCTGCTTCATCCGGGGCAGACTGGATGGCCTCTTTGGCATCTATGTCAGGAATATCAAACGCTGCCAATAGGTCATCAAAATCTGGGGTCTTCATGTCCCCCATGCCGGGATCGACTCCTGTAAAAACAAAAAATTACACACGTGTGATATTGACCACGAACTTGACGGGTGTTTACAAAAACGATCACATGTAAACAGAAACAGAAGCCGTGTCCTCGATATCATACGTAACGCGTGGACATTTAATAAACCCAAAACATCTAGCAGGTTATCGCGGTAGCTGGATCCTGAACTAGCATTTACTTAGCCTGCTAGCAGCGGCGTTTCTGCAGCCAAACCCTTATTTTTACTGACAGGCTCGGAATATTTCACCATGAATGAAAAGAACTGCTTCAATTATGTTTTCAATACGTGTTCATTTCAATGGAGGGGGCTCTTTTAAGCCACGCTACAGCCGAGACATCGTTTTGTACCGACGGGGCTCCGTTCTTTTGAGCTAGCAGCATATTCCTTCCTGTCTGAGGCTGCTGGCCGCTGAGCTCCAGCCAACACGGAGGGGTCATTCAGCTAGCGAGCTAACGTCTTTAAAAGCAACAGGGCGGCTCGTTCAGGTGGGGGTTCACAGCAGCCACGACCCGCTGACCGTGGGGTCGACGGTGTCACAGAAAGGAGCGGCTGAGGTCGTGGGGGGTTTGCTTTTCATATCCGGTGTATTTGTTTGATTGTTTACCTGGATATGCGACTCCCGACTATCCTTAGCTCGTTTTCAGCTGAAAATGCAGCGCTTCCCGTCACGTGACCCGGGACGTCCAATCAAATCGCCGCAGCGCTGGAGGAAAAATGTTCAGAGGATGCTACAAAAGACACGTTTATGGTTCTATGTTAAATACTTACATATGTGTATTTATAAATATTTATACTAAAAGAAGGGCTTTATATTACACTGACGGTTTGCTATAATTTCCAGTCTGCAAACAACTGGACTGAGAACAGACGAAGGCAAAAGGCAACACAATTTCATGTAGATTTTATTGCAAAAAAAAAAACACAAACATGACAGGAATGTGACTAACTCTAGTCTAAAGCCTGTCGTCCCAACTTCTGAGTAAATAACTAATCGGACCTTGTTGATAAAATTTTAACTGAAAAGCATACAAAGTAATTTGATAACGCATTGTTAGAATTTGGATTTTGGGGCAATGCATAAACTCAAAATTAGACAATAAAATGTAATATATATGTTTTATATGTTGGTGCTTTCGAGTGCCTAGCAGAAAGGCGGTATTAAATGTCAGAGTGCCGTCATGCAGGGTTGGTACATCAGCAACCTCGTATTTAAAAAATGCATCCTGTGTAAATCTGCCATTGTTCATTTATCTTTACTTTCTCTGCTCATTTCTTCTTCTCTTCATCCTTTTTGCTGTCTGGCTTGTTTCCTGTTTGGGATGCCAGGGAGCCCATGGCGTTGCGGATGGCCTCGTTGTTGGGATCCACTCCAGGCAGGTTCTCCAAAACGCTCTGAAGGAAATCTGGGTCTTGCATCACATCGTAGTCATCTTCCTCCTTTTTAAAAGCAAGATGAAGTCAGTTAGGTTAAAGTCTTTGTTATAGAAAAAGCACTGCCATGTAAAAATCAAGCTGGCTCCTACTGTGAGTCATAATTTTTGTTCATGATAAGCTCAACAGTACATTGCAACCATTTTCTTTTTAAAAGCGTTGTCCACATGGTAATAGGGTTAGTGAATTTACGCAACTTTAGCACTTCAGCCTTGCAGCCACATGGAAACAACCATTTGGGAGCCCCAAAACTGATTTTTTTTTTTTTATGAGTTCCAGAGTGAGGAGGGGGAAAAAAAAGTACAACGTAATCCTTGCATTTTTGTGTAGACAGACAAAATTGAATATTTTGAAAAAGATTATGTCACAGCCCCACCTCTAATCTAACCTGTCTCTTCTTGTGTTTCAATTCAAAAATACTTTATTAATCCCAAAGGTAAATTATTTGTTGTTGTAACTCGTTATCCTCATTTCATTGTTTGCACCCAGTGTAAGCTTCACATACATGTTCCACACCCTATTTCCTGTTATTGGTGTATTTTGGTAGTCTAGCATAGCTACTAGCATTTTTGGGTCATTTTAGGTGTTTCCGGTGTAGATGAAGACATTTCTAGAAACAGTACTTTGTGTACAAGGTTTTTTTTTTGGTTTTTTTAGAAACAACAAAAAAAAACATATATATATGCATATGTGTACAAGGTTTAAAAGTTGGAATTTGCTTCTTGAAAAACCGCCCACGATGTTCAAGTTCCAGGGGGGTTTTCTTTTAAAAATAATAATCATAACACCTTAAAAATAGAAGCCCCATCAACAGTTAATAAGTGTGAAACTTCCTACCAGCCAATTATAAATGAAGCATTTAAAATTAGAACATCTTTAAGAAGAAAGAAAATCTAACTGCTCATTAATTAAAACAGTTATGTGTAAAATTACCAATAATTAATAATAATGTTATACAATGCTCACCTTTGTTGATTCTGAAGTCTCCATGGGGGCTTCACTGCCCTCTGTTAATCAATGAGAACTTATTTTACTAACTAAGTTTGATTTACAACGTAAACTAGTTTTACAAACAAAGTCACCTTCACCGGCGAGAGACATCTGCATGGCGTAGGCGATCTGCTCCTCCTCCGTCATGCTGCTGAAATCAGGAAGAACTGCTGCACCGCTCTCAGGCTGGGATACTGACATTTTCAACAAGGCTTCCTCCGATTCTGCAACAAGAACGTTACAGTCAAAAAATTTTTTAAAAAGCCTTCCTTATTTTTAAATCGTGCATTAAATCAGAAAAATACATATCATTACCATCAGCACTGGGTGTGGGCACGCCTGCCTCAGCAGCAGAAGCAGCAGCAGCTCTGCGGGCCTCCTCCTCCTGCCTCTGTCGCTGCTCCTCCATCGAAACACGAAGGGCCTAAAGCAACAACACATTAAAAACACTTGATTCATATTTGCGTTCACATGTAAATATACCATCTTCACTCTGGAACATTTCCCCCTAAATAGAGGTGTGGGTGAAGTCAGCTGAAAACACTCAACACTTAAGCCTACAGTTTAAAATTGCAAATTAATTTTAAACAAATAATCCTCACATTCTCTTAATTTTAAAAGTTCAACTATGCTTATTTTTAAAGACAACAAAAAGCACTGCCATTAGATTTAGTTTGCCTTCACTGGACTGTTTTGAGACTGTCAGTAATTATATCATTTTAATGAGACTTTAATTTGTAAAATATCTATTTTAAATGGATTTTTTTTTTTAATCCAATCCACATTTCACATCCGCCATTCCACACATGCATTTATCGCCTACCAAGGCCAGCTCTGGATCAGCACTTGGGTCCACACCAAACTCAAAGTCGCTGGCACCGAGACCCATCATGGAGCCTCCTTCACCAGCCAGGATTGGGGAGGACAGCAGAGCATCAGCCAGACTGGGCCCAGGAGGGACTGTGACCAGGTGGGAGCCCGTTCCCTCCTTCCCATTTAGAGTGTTAATAAAAGCAGTCAGCTTTTCTGTGTTGAACTCCTGAACAGATGGACACATGTGGTTTTAAGTAGAATCAATTAAGATAATGAAAAGTTACTTCTTACTTTAAATTGCATGCATTTCTGATTTTGCAGAAGCAGGAATAGCTCACCTCTTCTCCAAAGTTGATGATGTCTACATTCACCTTCTCCTTTTTCAAGCGCTTCGCCAACTTGACAAGCTGAAAGATCAGCAGGTTTAGACAGAAACATAAAGGGATAAACACCAAAGTTCATGCTCAATAATTCAGGGATAAAGAAAAATAAATTAAATTTTTCAAACAAATGAAACGACATTTCCATCTAAAAGACTGACCTAAAACATAAGATTTTAAACTCACATCTTTTTCCATATCCTCTACAGGGCTTCCAACGAAGGCAATGATCCTCATCTTGTGGTTTTTTCCTTGTCTGTGCTTTAGAGCCAGCTGCAAAAAATTAAAAAGCACAGCTGCTGAAAAAGTAAAACCACAATTATAATTTTTAATACACTTTTGATCTTTTTAAATGACTGACTAAATAAATAACTTGAAATAGTGTATATAATATATATATATAATTCATAGTTTAATGCAGTTTGAGTAAGACTGCTGCTGTAAAATTGCCATAAATAGTCATATAGTCCTGAAAAACAGTTAAGAATTAAGACTTTGACATTACACCCAGATGCAAAAGATGAGAAGTGGAAAAACAACAGTGGAGCAAAGTGTGTGTGTCTTTTTAAAACAGCTGCTTTTCATTACTGCCAGGGGAGCTCCCCCTTATTTCACTGCTGATCAACAAAACAAACTATAGAGTGGAGACACGGGACACTGACAAAGCAGTACCCGCCTCTCCCCGCCCCTGGTTAAAGCAGAAAGTCCAGACTGTCTGTCTTAGATGCAGATGTCTTCAGTTTTGCTGTTTGATAATAGATCAGAAATGTGTTTATTTAATAAATAAGCAGCAGTTATTTAAGTTGGATGAATTACAGAGTTCATTGTGTCATTAAAGATGCAGCTAAGCTAATAGCTTGTGTTTGACACTTTAAGAGCAAAGCAGGGCTTGTGAAACTGTAGGCAGAAACAAAGAACATAAAATATGTTAGAGAAAAAAAAGTTTTTTTTTTTGTTTGTTAGCAAGTCAGGAAAGGAGTGGTAAAAACAGCAGTTCTTTAGAAAGCAGTTTCCGCTGTTGTCTGTAACATGAGAAATTGCTTTTCTTGTTTTGTTGCCTTTAACTGGAAAAAAAAAATACAATAACAGCAGCATGGGTTTTGAATTTTATTTAGTTTTTTAATGGCCCATAGGATTGAAGATCTTATGGGCTGAAGATTACTTACATGAGCCACTCTGATGCCCGTACAGAAGCAGATATTTCCTTTAGGCTGGACAGCGTGGAGTTTGGACAGGATGCGACCAGTGTCTGGTGTCAGTGTGGTGAGGACCTCACAGTTACTACATCAGAGCAGGAGAATTTAACCACAGTTAATCATCTGCAGCCTGACAAAACAAATCAATAATGATAAAAACCGCAAACATGTGCAAGTTACTCACAATAAATTTCCACGTGTAACTTTTTAAATAATTGTTAACTGGATGCACAAGTCAAAGGAAGTGAGGTTGTTTAAAGAAACTGCTATTTGTGTTTGTGTGTTGGCTTATAACCAAATGTCATTAAATTATGTTATTGGTTATATGGAGAGAGGAATCCTTACTTTGCCATGGTAATAAGTCCCACATTGTTCTCAGGATTACTGCGTGTTTTGGAGTGGCAGACTATGTTGACAGCATCTTGCTGAGCCTGCAGCCTTGTGGGCAGAAAGTCTCCATTTCTCATGTATTCACTGTTATCCACACTGAGGGAAAGAGAGCAGTTTGTCTTTAGCATTATAGCATCCAACATGCTGACACTTCTTCAGCTACTTTTCTGTGGACAAAGAAAGGTCTGTTTTCTTCACTTTAGAGCTCATAAAGAGCCTAAAATACCTAATACTGTGACAAAAAGTAAAAAAAAACGAGCACAGCTTTTTAGAAACAACTAGGTACAATTGGACGAATCGATGACAGCATCTGTGTTGTCAGGTGTCAATTTAGACAGAAACCCTACATCACAAGCGCACATACACATCGGATGTATTACACTAATACAGCTGCATTATTAAAACCGCAACTTCTAACCTAAACTAGCGCTAAATTTTAGGCTAAATGACTCAGCTAACCGTCACCGGCTAATTATAGGCCGAAGAGGCCCAAAATATTAATCGACGTTCGGGTTTATGAAATAATGTATCGACTACTTAACGTTCAAATCTTCATATAAACTGTTCTTGGTTTAACAACTATTAAGGAAATAGTTTCTTTTTAGGTTCCTACCAGACCATAGTACTTTCCAGCCCCATTTTGGAAACTTCTTGTTGCTTTTCTTGCGTAGTCTAACAAGCGCGCATCCTATTGGTTGACGGCTGAACAAGACGGATCCTGATTGGTCCAAAAAAATGGTCTCTCAGCGTTGTAAATTAAAAAACTTAATGTACACTATTTTACTCTGTAACGTCAGAATTTGTTTTACCTTCTTTAAATAAAAATACTATATTCATTCTTTCTTTATCTTTTACAGGGATTGTCTTGTAAAGGGGTCTATTTTTTAAGCCTTTTCAGTTCATCTGATCATTAAAAAAATGCTGTTTTCTATTTTATGATTCAAATTTGAAAAGGAATACACAACTCAAGGGGAAAAAAAGAGTTGAATAATAATCTAAATAACTAATAATCTGTTTTTATAAATATTTTGTATGAAGTCTGTTAAAAATTTTCTTAACTGCAAACACATCTTAATAATTGAATTGAACAAGATTAAAAAGACTTTTTGCTCAAATAAATGATTCCCAAAGAAATATTAGCTGATCTTGCCACAATGTACTGTTTTTATTAAACACATGGGGGAAAAAAATAATACAAAAGGAGAACAACATAATAGTTTGGAGGCTTAAAGGTTAAAGCACATGGAAAATCAATAAAAGTATTAAAGTTTACAGGACTTTCACCGTTCCAGTAGAACATCTGGTATTTCAAAGTTTGTTTTTGATACGCAATGCAATTCTAAAAATATAGTTTGTCATGATCTTGGTGTTTTGGTTGCATTTTTAATTTGAATTTAATCTCTAGGTCTTTACTTTAACATACATATTTCGGTTTTCTGTACTCATTACTTGCTACAGTACATTTGGTATTAATTAAAAAATATATATATCCCCCTATCTGAGTGACTCTTGTTTGTGTTGCTCACTACTGCAAATAATCATGACAATAATCAAACAGCACATTTCTTTAATAACTTCACGTGTCAAAAAAGTGGCATCCCGAAACAGACAAACGACTTAAAAGCTGCATACAGACGTACATAATATCCACACATTAAAAAGGTCAACTTCATAAAAATATAGAATTATTCACCATTTTTATATTAATCATACATATTTTGCAACTACTACACCTTTCTAATCACCCATCACATCAACAATTCAAAATTACAAGTGGTTAAAGCAATATAAAACCTTGAAAAGGAGTATATTTACATAATTACATGTTTGGTTTTACCATAAACTGGTGAATTAAGTAAGTTTATTCACCTTGGTGGGAGTTTGTTGATCAATGTTACGTAGATATCAGTTTATGTGTAAACAAAGATTTTGGTGTCTAAATGTTTCATAAATAACAAATGTGTATCACTGGCAGACTAAAGCTACGCCATAAATTTACAGCAAACATCAAGTTAAAAAACTGCATATCCACTTTTAGTGCAGAATTCAATTTAAACCCCATTTTCTTTTGGGTTAAAAAAAAGCAGATGTTTGATCATATGTTTGCAACAGTTTGTTAAAGATTAAATCTGTGTAGTTTTTAATGACAATAGGACCCAACATTTCTGCTTCAACATTCTGTTCAATGTACCAAATTAAATGCTTAATTTATGGAAACAGCAGAGGCAGCAGTGCATTAGCATAGCTGAGTGCTACAGACAGAATATTAATATTAGTGAGCTCACGATGTGTTCTGTTGTGCACTCAGTCGCGCCTTTAGTCGAGTAGCACAAGAACACTTTCAGAAAGGAAGAATTTATTTTAAGACGGGTGAAGTTGTTATATTTCAGATTTTAAAAAAAGGTACTTCTTCAAAACAAATACACTTTGTTTGCCAGAGAAATAAAACCGTGAAATTGTTCTGCGGCACAAAGTTTTAAATAGAACTAATATATATAAAGGCGCAAAAAGCAGATTTGATTGAGAAATTATGTCAACTTTTTTAAAGATGAACTAAATTAATGTACTGATATTTATTAAACTTTATTTAACCAGGCAAATCCCACTGAGATCAGAGATCTCTTTTGCAAGGGAGGCCTGAACCCCTTGCAAAACATCCAGATCATCGCAACTCCTACAGTCATCTCAAATCTGGGCCATGCACCTTTGATAAAATATGTTTATTTTATGTAAATCCTTTCATACATGCATGAGTAATGCTGCAAACAATAACAAGAAAATGTAAGTGGAGGTAATGAGAGTTAAAAATAAAACGATTGTGCCAGCTCGCATCATTTCATAATCTTTGGTACTGGTCACAATTATTATAAAACACCCAACAACAAAAATCCTCTTAACAGGTTTGATCAGCAGCTTTAAATACTCAAGAAACACTTTAGTTTGAATAAACTCCTAAAAGGAAAAAACAAAAACAAGATTAGGGACAAACGTGTAAAAACTCAGTAGCCTTGTCTCTTGAGATTGGCCCCTATTTATTAATTGTTGTGGTGCCTAATCTCCACCTATCAGCCACACTACATCACATATATTCAATCGATCATATGAGTATAAAAAAAAACAAATAAACTCTAATAAAATATTGCTTTGTTCTTAATATTAGAGGTTAAGATTCACAGTACCTAAAGTAGTACAAGTTCATTAGAAAATTTGGTTGAATAAAAACTGTGAGCTACGGGTCACATCTCTTTTTTTCATTTACAGTAAGTACTTAAATAATATCTTTACAGCATGAATGAATCAGTATGTCTTGTAACAAACCCCCCTATTTTCAAAACCTGGGCCCCAAATGAATAATATAATTTTATGGTAAAGCATCTAAACAAAAACAAAAAAATAAATTATGGGTATAAACTGTAAATAAAAGATGGTTGTTATCTTGTACAAGTAAATAGAACTGCAGTACCATCCGTGACCACTAGGTGCAACCCACAAAACTGAAAGCTCTCATTTAAAACTTACGAACCTTTCAAGTCGTTTTGGTAGAATTCCTTTGAGTTTTTCAGCACGCTTAATGCATTTTAATTACTACACCTCAAAAATAAATTTTTAGCCAATCCACAATGAAATTTGTTCCATTTTCATCTCTTCTGGTTCCTAAAACATTAAGGTGATGGAATGTCAAATCTGATGCTGCAGAACGATGTGACCCATACATCCATCTTTTATATACAAGTCTGTTGGTGAGACAGGTAATCGGGAAGTTGTTACAGTAATATAGTAAATACAAAACCCGTAAAAAAGAAAAGAACTAAAACACTTGAAAGACACTTTTCTGCACATGAACATTAAATCCTCATGAACGTTAGCAAAAATGAGCACATCAGGACCAAAACAATAATAACTGGTTGTTAATGCGGGAACTATAAAAGGAATTAAAATGTGCACCACCCACCACATTTACGTACCCACATTTATAAAGTAAAAACACAACCATTTGAAAATCAAAGTGCAACAAACAGGAACACGTATAACTATACCGCTTGGTCTCAGTGATACACTACGAGGCTTTATTTTAGTCCTGGCTCTCCAACATGAAGGTGGTTGGATTATTTCAACCTTGATTAGGACAATCTGCGAGATCTTTTTTGCTTCCTTTGAGTTCCACTCGTCTTTCAACGTTTACACCTGCAAACCACGAAATCCATGTTATAGTAGTTCAAAGTTTAGGTAAATAAAAATCACAACAGAGAAGACTGTCATCTACTTACAGAACATTTGCTCTCATTATAAACTGTGTCACTGAGGGAGAATGAATCCTCTGTAATACTTGCTTCAAGAGAAGCCTGAGCTCTAAAAAAAAAAAAAAAGAAAACAGAAAATGAAATGAACCTTCATAAAGTCAGCGGGCTTGTTACAGGTTTCCATAGAAATAATTAAACATTTTGATGCATGACTTTAGAGGATTGCTGTGAGAGACTTGACTTTCATGAACTTTTAATTAAGGCATTTTGTTTTTAAAAACAGAAACTTAGTAACACTTCTGGCACAAATACATCTTTATTGACCCATTAAGAAGATATATGGTTTAAACGTTGACGTGGTGCCCAAAGACTTCAACACTGCCATCAATAAGATCAACACTAGGTACCAAACGCGGAATCCTGTTTGTGGACTGGCATCCCACTGGTTTCAAGGTGGGCATCAACTACCAGCCGCCTAGTGTGGTTCCTGGTGGAGACCTGGCCAAGGTCCAGAGGGCCTTATGCATGCTAAGCAACACCACGGCCATCGCAGAAGCCTGGGCTAGACTAGAGCACAAGTTCAACCTGACGTATGCCAAGAGGGCCTTTGTCCACTGGTGTGTGGGGGAGGGGATGGAGGAGGGTGAGTTCTCAGAAGCTCGGGAGGACATGGCAGCTCTGGAGAAGGATTATGACGTTCGAGCAGGTAGTATAGAAGAGGAAGATGAGGGATGAAGAATAGTATTAATATTAATATTACTTATTAATATTGTTTCACTTTTATATCATTTCTTCTATTTAGTTTTCATTTTATATGCTTTTTAAGTCCAAGTCTATTGTTGTCTGTACCTTATCTGTATTTTTTGTTTAAAACAGGTCTGCCTTGTAAATGAGTCCTCGTGGCCGAATGACACTAATATAAATAAATGTTGAATGAAAAAACAACACAGACAGCCCACTCTGCATAAAAAAAATTAATTAAAAAAAAAAAAAATACTGTAAATAAAAACCCATGTATATATATATATATATATATATATATAAAATCTTGTTTTATCATATCATGTTTTATCATATCACGATATTATTGCAAATGCAATTTATTGTTCAGCCCTACTAAGAATGGGCTTTTTAAGCGTAAACATTTACATACATATATACATATACATACATACATATATATACATACATATACATACATACATACATACATA